AAAAAATCCATGAAAAAATTGATCTTGCCTTTGGTCATTAGAAGTCAAACTGATTATATTTTACAAGCAGTGTCTGTGCTTAGACTGTACTTTTTGCAGTGTTCAGTGGGAGGCTGGGGGCACTGGGCAGGTTTCTGGGTGCTCTCAGACTCTCCCATCATGGGAGAATCTCTCCTGGCTCAGGATCTGTGGCCAAGAATTCGGAAACCTCCCTTCTCTGCCAAAGGGATGTCCCTCTCCCCAGTCCCACCCCTGAGCTGCAGTTTTGTTCCCTGTTGTTAGCACCAGCAGGCTCTGCAGCAAAGGCAGAACACGGACAGGAGTCTCAGGAGCTGCTGAAGTGCAGTGCTGGCTGTTCACACACACAGCTTTGGCTTTATTCATTTACCATTCCTGCCCTCAGCATTGGTGACCAAAGGCCATTTTGCTTCCTACCTGTGCTTTTTTAGCAGGTCAGTAGTAACACAAAGCCAGCCAGGAGCCTGCCTCTCCAGCTCCAAGGTGATGATCACCAAGACCAGCGTGGAGCCCCTGAACTGCACGAGCTGGTGGGAGGCCATCCAGTGCTGCAGCTGCCTGGTGAAGAGTACCACGTGGAGGGAAGGATTCCTCTGAGGCAGCTGGGGAGAGGGGGCCAGCTGGACATCACATGGCATGGGACTGCAGAGAAGAGAAGGTGTACATATATATATATATATATGAATATATATACAAAGAAAAGCAGAGGTCAGTGGAGTTTATATGTTCTCATATGTCATCACCCAGAAGTACAGATGAATTCCATCTCATAGCAGGAAACCTGAAGGCTTCCCCCACCTTTTTCTTTGTGTTTTGTGTTTGTACTTGCCAATCATTGAACTGATGATGAATGTACGGGGTCTGTGTTTCCTAACAATCTCTGAAGTTTCTGCGTTATCCAGATTGCTGCCCAGGAGATTCAGTTCAGGCCAGCAGCTCCAAATCCAGCAAAACCGGTAATTCCAACTGCACTCTGAATTTCCCGAGGAAACAAGCACCTGCAAAAGGCAGTTTTCACAATCAGCAGCCTCTAATGGCTCGATATTTGCACATAACCTTAAAAAAGGGATCCAGGATGTGTTTGTATCTCATGAATTTTGCCTTACCAGCACATGATCGTTTCTTGAAAACAAAGTTTAATTGTTTCTATCAAATGTTCAGTAACTGCAATGTGAACTAAGTGCCAGATCAGGGTAGTCTCATTGCATAAATGAATAATTAGTGGAATGAAAAGAAAAATTATTTAAGGAAAAACCTGTGTGTGAAATGTAGCAAAACTCTGACAGCTTTCTATGTACAGTATTAATAGAAGGGAAATAGTTAGAAATATTTTTGCAGTGTGTATTTAAAAAAATAAAAATGGCATAGAGTTGTGCATTATGAGAATCTTTTTAATGTCCATTTTAGTTGTCCTTTAAAGACAGGAGTAAATTTTTTTCAGCAAAAAGAAAGGTTTTAAATAGTAGAAAAATTTAAAAATTAATTTTAAAAGAAAGTTACTGTAATATTCTTTAAAAGACTTGCAGATAGGTAGGAACAGGTAGTTTGCAGAGCATCTTGGGAAGGATGTGTGTGTGTGTGTGTGCGTGTGTGTGTGTGTGTGTGCATCTGTGTTTTCTAGTCTTATTTGATAAGGAGTTGTTTCTTTAAAGAAAAAAGTTGCAAAACGTAGTGCTTACAATGTTTAAGAAATCCATTGGTGTTGCTGTGTAAAGATCTTGCTGAAGCTTATCCAGGATAATTCTTTCCATTCTCAAGATCTCGGCTGGAGAGCATTTACAGCTGCTCTGCACCACCAGTGTCTGCACCAATGGGATTACCTGTAAAAAAAATTTAAAAATATAAAAAAATAAAGAAGCCAACGTCCTACACAGTGCTGTGTGTGCTTCTCTGTATGGTGAGGGGATCTGACAAGGTTAAATACATCTGTGGGAAGCAGAATGCTCATCCAGGAGCCCTCGTTACTTGGGTTAAACAAATTAACGCTTCTTCATTATGCCCGAATCATTGAAGGACCTGGAAACATGAACAACTTTTAGTGTGTTGAAAATCAAACATACAGACCTCATCCTCTCCACTGGTTTTTGCTGCAAGGACAAGAAACTGCAATGCACTGCAGATATTTTAATTGGGCCTGAAGGGAGAAGAAGAAAACACCGAATAAAGAAGATAAGAGTCTTGGGGGAAATAATTGCATTCTGTGACACGTGCACAAGTTTCAAACTTTCATTTGAGTTACAGTTGCTTCTGAATTAGTTTAGCTACAGAATCTGGAAATGGAACAAGGAAATTCAAAAGTGAAGCAGAATAAATCCTCTTATTGGTTCAACCTTTATTCCTGTATCCCACAATTCTTAGACTATGCAATGCCACGTTACTTACAATGCAGTGTTACTCCTCTTCTCACCTCAGATACTGCTTCAGATTGGACTTCAGGAAGAATTTCTTCATGGAAGGGGTGGTTAAGCCCAGGGAGGTGTTGGAGTCACCATCCCTGGAGGTGTTGGCTGAATGGCTGGACGTGGCACTCAGTGCTCTGGTTTAGTTGACAAGGTGGTAATTGGTCAAAGGTTGGACTTGATCATCTTGGAGGCCTTCTCCAACCTTAATGATTCTATGGTTCTACGTGCCAGTCTCAATCTAAATGGAATTGACAGTGGCAAGGCTCAGCTCAGCTCCTAACTTTGCTGTTGCTCCAGTGGCAGAAAATGTCAGCCCCATAGTTTGGTTAAAAATTGTGGTTTCAAAACTGAAATATTAAAAGCAATAACCTGAATGCTTTGTGTTTAGCAGAGACAACCAGATGATAATGAGTTCTTTGGACTTACCACAGCATTTGGACTCAGTTCACACAAACACTCCTAAGGAGGACTGTGCATCAGTGGAACCTCATCAAACACTCAAGTTCATATATGTTTATATGTGTGTGCTTACAGGCCTTCCCCAGCAACGACCCCGACTGCTCCCTAAATCTGCTGCCAAACATAGTCCCTGCTTTGTATGTAAACTGATTACATGCTCCTTCCATTCCCAGGCAGTAATCTGGCCAGGGAAAAGCTGAGATCTCTCTGCCTTCATTGATGCCAACAGCCTGTTGAAGATGTTGGTCGCCACCGCAAACATTTCAGGGTAAAACTGGAACTTGGAGCTTCTTTCTGCAATCCAGAGAACTGCCTTCTTGTAACTTGACAGAGAGAGATCTGTGCCCTGAGGGGGAGGAAAAGTTAAAAGAAAAATATGGTTAGTGCTTTGATGATTTTGTTAAGGTATCTCCAAAGGAAGACTCAAATCTTGTTAAGTGCTCTAATTAGCATTTCGGATGTCTGGAGGCTGGAAATGAAGGGAGTTGTCAGCTGTGTCTGCAGAGGGAGGGCGAGGGCACATTTCGGTGCTGTTTAAACCACTGGTTTGTGCTGCTCACCCAGTCATGCCCAGCTGGGTGACCCAGGCCTGGTACTGGGTTGTACTGGAGTACTGAGTGGGGAAGCACCAGCCCTCCCAAAATGAGCTCTTACAAACAAGGTGCTGCTGGAAGCCTCGGCCGGGAGCTTCGGTGCCCATCCTGGGAAAAGGCAGCCCCGCATCACCGACCTCCACTCTCCGGGTGCACACCGTGCTTCCCAGCCCAGGTGGGACCGTCTCACCCACACAGGGTGTCCCTGTTCTCTCCCCAGCCCCTTGGGTTATACACTTTCTGGTGCGAAATGACTCTCTCAGTCCACGAGTCTCAGCGTTCAGCACAGCTCTGGGCAGCACCAGGGCAGTGAATAAACTGCAAAGTGACTGTTTGAACACCTGGCCCTCTTCCTGACTCACCTGGTGACACTCCCTGGGGTGAGGGAATGGCCCTGTGACGCACCGGTCAGTTTGATGGAGGAGTTCTGGAAGCCCCAGATCAATCCTGTCCACATTCCTGCTCCCGCCTGCATCCCTCCGGCAAAAACACAGCGCAGCTGACACACGGCCCTTGGTTTGTGCCTGTGCTTGGTGCTCCGTGATGGGCATTCCTGGCCTTGCCCCGGGATCCCAGGCCCTGGTTGTCCACAGCCAAGGCAGCGAGGGGAGGAGTGGGACTGGAACAAGGCCCTGTGACCTGCCAGCAGGGTTTGGGTGTGCAGAAACACCTGGGGGCAGCGAGACAGGTAGGGCTGAGGAGCCAGGGAAACTATTCATGGACCTTTCCGTTGCACAAAATGATGTCTTTGACTCTTAGTGACATATATTATGAAAGGAAAAAGCCAGGTTGTTGGAATAACTTAGTCTAGTTCCTGTAAATGTACGGCACGTGGACAGTGGGATGTGGACATACAGCAGGGTGAGTAGAACAGCAGGTGTGGAGGATCCCAGCAGCATCCTGTGAGAATTTACACTACATGGCAGATAACCCGGACACATGCCTCTTCTATGCATGGGGCTAATTGATTTCTGTGCCACTTGTTCTGTATTGTTTATATTTAAGGCACTCTGCATTCCCTCTATCTCAGGAGTAATTCAGTTCCAGTCAGGAAAAAGAGGAGATGGATTTTCTGTGTGGAGAACAGGCTGGAGCTGCAGCCCCGTCAGAGCCCCAGAAACCCGTCAGAGCCCAGTCAGAGCCAGTGAACCCCAACCAGAGTGCTCAGAGCCCGGTCAGCTCCCCCGGACCCCGATCATCCCCCTCACAGCCCGGTCAGCCCCTCTGGACCTTGATCATCCCCCTCAGAGCCCGGTCAGTCCCCCCGGACCCCGATCATTCCCCTCAGAGCCCGGTCAGTCCCCCCGGACCCCGATCATCCCCCTCAGAGCCCAGTCAGCTCCCCCGGACCCCGATCATCCCCCTCAGAGCCCGGGCAGTGTCCGGGCCCGCCCCCCCGTCCCGCCGTTCCCATGGCGACAGGACGCTCCGCCCGCCCCCGCCGCTCCGGCCCCGCCATTGGCTGGACCCGCTCCGGCCCCGCCTTCCCTGGCCGGCCATTGGCGGCGGGGCCCCCGCAGCGCGCGCGGATTGGGCGGGGGGCGTGGCGGCGCAGGCGCGGTGCCGTTATTGTTCCGCGGTGCCGCCGCCCGGGCGGTGCTGCCGCCATCGCCATCATGCCGGTGAGCGGGGGGGGGGGTGCGGGACACGGGAGATGGGACATGGGACACACACACTGCGGCCCCGCGGCTGCTGCGCACCTCGGCCCGCCGCGGGCAGGAGCCGCCGCGCCCGGGGCGGGCTGACAGGGGCTCGCAGGCCCCGCCGCTCCCGTGCGGGCGCCTGTCAGGCCGAGCGGGCCGGGGGCGGTGAGGGGCTGCGGGCGGCGCGAGGTCCTGTGGCAGCCGGGGCTGGAGGGTTCTGCCTCTCCGGAGGGTCTCGCCCCCATCCCGGCGGGCTCGTGGCGGCTCCCGAATCCCGCCCCTGGGTTTTGGCCGCACCTCGTGTGCGGTCCCTGCCCCGCCCGGGTGGGGCTGAGCCGCTCCCCGCGTTCGGCAGCAGCCTCTGCTGGGGCCTGAGGGGGAGCCGGGCAGGGGGGAGAGGCTTTTGTTTTTGGTTGACATCCAGCAGCGCTGCTCTAGCAGGAGGTATCTGCTCAGCCGCAGCAGCCCGCGCCGAGGGGAGTGTCTGAGGCTTAACTAGAGCAAATGGGCTTTAGGTTTATTTAATCGGGAGAGCATGTGACAGCAGATTCATCAGCCGTGCTTCAAGATTTGTTTTGGTAACTGCACGAAAGAAAAGATTTGTGAGGTTTTGTAATACAGCATTCGGATTTTTTAAACGTTTACATTTCATCAAGTACACTGAGGGTTGTAACTGAAATGAATTCCCTTCAGCCAGTGCTCCCTGCTATCCACTTAGGTTGTTTGTGAGGTTTGAGAGTGTGGTCGGTATTAATGGGAAAGAATGTCATGGCTGCACACAGTTCCAGCAAAGTGCTTGCAGGTTGCTTGCAAGCATGAAAGTGTTTCCTGAAAAAACTCTTAGATCACGAAATGTGAAATGCTCAAGGATTACTCATTGAGTTTCCCTGTTGGCAAACAAACAGGTTGCAGTGAGTGATTAAATGTGTGTTATTCTCTCATCTTTAATTATAAACCAGTTCAGGTTTTAACTGCCTAAGTTCACAATCCCATAGAGATGTGTGCAGCTGCTTGAGCTGATTCAGCAGCATTTGTGCTTAAACACACAGTGGTTTTGTCCTGACAGAGAGCAGGGTTAAGTGAGATACTGAGAAGAAATCCTTCCCTGTGAGGGTGGGGAGGCCCTGGCACAGGTTGCCCAGAGAGGCTGTGGCTGCCCCATCCCTGGAAGTGTCCAAGGCCAGGTTGGACAGGGCTTGGAGCAACCTGGGCTAGTGGGAGGTGTCCCTGCCTGTGGCAGGGGGTGCAATGGGTTATCTTTAAGGTCCCTTTCAACCCAAACCTTTCTGTGATTCTATGTTCACACTAGCGTTACAGCCTGTGTGTTTTTTGGTTTTTAAACCCTTGCAGATCAACAAGCCTGAGAAGCTGGACAGGCCTGAGAGCTGTGACAATGTCAAGGTGGTGGTTCGGTGCCGGCCCCTCAACGACCGCGAGAAAGCCACGGGCTACAAAATGGCTGTGAACGTGGATGAGATGAGAGGGACCATAACTGTGCATAAAACAGACTCCTCCAACGAGCCTCCCAAGACATTTACATTTGACACAGTGTTTGGACCAGAGAGTAAACAGCTGGATGTCTATAATTTAACTGCAAGACCTATCATTGACTCTGTCCTAGAGGGATACAATGGTAAGTCCTGTGTTTTAAGTGAAGGATCCCAACCCATCTCCTGTTCTTTGCCTTGTTGGAGTTCCAGCTGATCTTGTTTAAGGGAGTTTCACCTTCTGAGGGCTGTGGCCCTGTGTTGTCTCTGTTGTGGCCGTGAACTTAAAATAGCCTGGAGGTACTTGCTGTTCTGAGCGCTCAGTGGTTGTACCCACTGCGATCATTAACACTGGGAGACTGGTGATGAACAAGATTCAGCTGAGGTCAGTTAGCTCTGTGTTTTTATCCTGTATCTTCTCTTTGCAAAAATCTGCACTTTATCTTATTGTCAGAGTTCTCAGTGGCTCTTCCCTGCCCAGTGTCAGCACCCAGGCAGCTGCCGTGGCTCTGCAGCACTAGGTATGCACACAGACCTCTGCAGAGAACTGCTGCACTCTTAACTCTGAGCTTGGCTGTTTTGAACTAAGATGACTACTTAAACACATCTAGCCTACCTCACAGACAGTCTGTTGCTTCCTACAGCTGGGAAGAGTATGGCCATGGTTTGTGTGTGTGTGTTATGCATGGAAATGTATTATATAAAGGAAAGCAGATCACTGCCTTCCGTAACAGTGTGCTACAAACAACAACAGTTTACAAAATTGTTCGGCATTTGTAAAATGCCTCATAAGCTCTTGTGCTAACACACATGGGTTTCAGCTGATTAAAATTTGGGGTTCAAAAATGAGTGGCTCAGAGCTGTGCCTGAGGAGGTTTAGACTGGACATTGGGAAGCATTTCTTTACTGAGACACTGGAACAGGCTTCCTAGAGAGGTGGTCAATGCCCCAAGCCTGTCAGTGTTTGAGACATTTGGACAATGCCCTTAACATAATTTTTGGTCAGCCCTGGATTGGTTGGGCAGTTGGACTAGGGGATCATTGTAGGTCCCTTCCACCTGAAATATTCTGTTCAGTTTTCCAGTCTGTAATGGCTTGACAATGAAAGCTTGAGTTTTCAGCAGTGCTGGGCTAAAACTAAGAACTGTTATATTTCTGGAGTTCCAGAGTCAGGGGGCTCAGTGACATTTCTGGATGCCTTCCTGTGAAGGCTGATTCTCTAGTCCAAATTGTAGTTGCACCTGCAGGTTCAGAACTGGGCTTGTGCTGTGGCTGTGCTGTGGAACCCTCACACCCTTTCTGCTGTGGCTCAGAGCAATAGTTGGGTTTGCAGTTGGTACATAATCATCTTCTGCTAATTGACCACGTGACCATTAATTGGGCTTGCCTGCATTCTTTGTATGTGGAACCTGAGTGTACTAGTACTCCAGACTTTAATCACTCTGCACAATCAAAACCAGCTGACTTTTTATTAGGCATCTTGCAGGCTGGATTGAACAGTGGCTCAGCCCTGTTTGCTGTGTTTGCCCAGCATTTCTGTTGCCCCAGCCTTGTACAGTAGCTACTGGAGCGGGTGGAAAATTTCAGCTCCATAACAATAGAGGTGTTTAGTGCTATCAGGCTAAGAAGGGTTGAAATAAAACTGCAGTTAGCGATTTCTTAGAGTGTGCTCATTTATCTTGTCCCTCAGGTACTATTTTTGCATATGGGCAGACTGGAACAGGCAAAACTTTCACCATGGAAGGGGTCCGAGCAGTTCCTGAGCTCAGAGGCATCATTCCCAATTCCTTTGCTCATATATTTGGTCACATTGCCAAGGCAGAGGGGGACACAAGGTAAACAGTTTCTCTTCACTGCTTCTGTCTTTTTTGTGTGTGTCCATGTGTAGCAGGAGCCTGACCTTGACAATGACAACTGAAATGGTACCTCTGGCCAAGCTGAAAGGCTCCCACTCAGGCAGTTCTTGAGGGGGCAGCAAGATTGTGTTGGTATTTCAGTGCATTTTCATTGCACTCTGGGATTGTGTTTGTGGGACATGAGCAAATTCTCACTAAACAAACTGTTCATCTTCAGGTTCTTGGTTCGTGTCTCTTACCTGGAGATTTACAATGAGGAAGTGCGGGACCTGCTGGGGAAGGACCAGACACAGAGGTTAGAGGTGAGCCTGCTCTTCTCAAAGTGGTGTTTGCTTGGACTCAGAGAGCAGTGTTCTGCTTTTGAGACCAGAGCAGCCCTTGAAGGGAAGTGGGAGGTTGGGCTCCTCAGCAGTCCTGTTTCCTTGCAGACACAGTAGCTGGCTGTCACTCCTGGCTTCTCTGAATCCCTTCCACCTGGCCAGCTGCACAGTGAGAACCTGGCTGTTCATCCAGCCACTTTTGTACCTGCAGTGCTACCCCACAGGCCCCTCAGCAGTTCTAGGGATTGGAGAGTGAGACTTGAAGTCATGTCTTGCCCCCAGGGGAAAACCGTGGAATGTTGTTATGCATGAGTGTTTATTCCTTATCTGCTCTGAGTGTTTTATGTGCAAACCAGAACCTGGAGGGGTGAATCACTGCACTGGTACAGTACCACTGAGAATTGCTGCTGGGGGTCTCTTAGGGATGCTCAGTCTGAACTGTTTCTCTCTTAGGTTAAAGAGAGACCTGATGTGGGAGTTTATATCAAAGACCTCTCAGCTTATGTCGTAAACAATGCAGATGATATGGACAGAATCATGACTCTGGGCCACAAGAACCGTACGTAGCCTTGCTGGGGGCAGGTTAAAGCTCAGACAGAGCAAAGGGCTGCTTACAGAGCACAGGGAGAGACCCCGGTCCTGTTGCTGGGAAGGTTATTCAGCTGAGCAGAACAGAAGGGTTGTCTTGTCCCAAACCCCTTTTGTGTAGGGGCAGGTGAAGAAGGCTGTGCCTCCCACATTGGGCAGTGCCAGCAGGGTATCAGCAAAGGCAGGATGCAGTGAGGGCAGTCAGTGTTGTCAGAACTGCTAGTGTGTCTCTTGGTCCTTTTCCCTCTTCAGTTCTGATCAGGATAAGCATTAGCCCCATGCTATGAGTGGGAGGTGGTTTATGTGTTCTGGAAGACTTCTTTGTTAAGCTCAGATTATGTAATGACTTAAAGTTCTGACTACTGTTGCTCTTGGCATGGATTCCTGTGCTCTTATTTTGGAAAATACAGCTGTTTTCAGGGATCAGCTGTGCACACCTTAGGCTACTGGTCTTTGTAGCCTTAAAGAAACAGATGAGGATAACTGCTGCTCTTGGGAGCCTGTGGTTGGCTTAGAGCTGCAGCAGGCTGTAACACTTCTGCTAGTCCAGGTTGGATGTGTACTGCCACTTCAGTGCCCAGGAATACACTTTGCTGCTGAGTCTGAGCATCCCTCTGCCCTCTTCTGAAATACAGGGTGGGGGAAAGAGGTGGGGGTGAGTTTCCTCTGAGAGCAGGAAGAGTTAGAGAAGCCTGTGATTAATTCCAAAGGCATCACTGCTCTTTCTCTGCGTGCACAGGTTCTGTTGGTGCCACAAACATGAACGAGCACAGCTCTCGCTCCCACGCCATCTTCACCATCACCATCGAGTGCAGCGAGAAGGGCGTGGATGGCAACATGCACGTGCGCATGGGCAAGCTGCACCTCGTGGATCTGGCTGTGAGTGCCCAGCAGGGGCTTGGGCAAGAGCTTTGGCTTGGTTTGATGAGGTTTTTCCAGGGGACTGTGGCCATGCAGTTCATCACTTGCAGGTTCCCTCCCTGTCTCACTTTGAACCAATGTAATTGTGCTGGTAAAACAAGCCTTTAGCCCAAGGTTTACACTGAGGCACTTTTTCTTGGAGAAGATGCAGGAAAAGCAAGACTAAAGGCATTCAGTGTCTGCATCTTAACTATTTACATGATGTGTGTATAGGATGCTCTACGAAACTCTTCAAAATAATTGCAGTGTTGCTGTTCTCCCTTGATCTGCTGATAGGAAGGACTGTAGATGGTGGTTAGCAGCTCCTGCTAAGGTGCCTTTTAACTGCTGACTGACTTCCCATAACATTTTTGTTCTTGGGGACAAAATCTCCATTTTCTCCAGCTGCATTACATTGAGCAATCCAGAATTTGCTGGCACTGAACGCTTGACTTGTCTCTCTGTCAGTGTCTGAGGTACTCACCCAGGTTCTCTAATGATAGATGAGGTGGTTACTGACATGGCTGCTGGCAAGACTTCAGGTGTAGCTGATTCTGTTTGGAGGGAGGAGATGTATTAGGGGATTTAACTCCTGCTTCCTGTTCCCTTTGCAGGGCTCTGAAAGACAGACAAAAACTGGAGCCACAGGGCAGCGACTGAAGGAAGCCACCAAGATCAACCTGTCCCTTTCCACCCTGGGCAATGTCATCTCTGCGCTGGTGGATGGCAAGAGCACCCACGTGCCCTACCGGAACTCCAAACTGACACGGCTCCTCCAGGACTCCCTGGGGGGCAACTCCAAAACCATGATGGTGAGCTGAGACAGCTTGGCATTTACCTCTCTAGTTCTGAGCTGTTTGCAGCCTACAGAGTCTTCTCTGTGCATCTCTTCCTGTTCCCTTGGCCTCTGTGCAGAGGTGTGTACCTGTGTACACGCACGTGTAACATTGAACAGAAGCTGTGCTTGGGTAGCCAAGAGCAGCTTCAGTGTAGGAGCAGCAGGAAAGCTTGGGAGAGAGCAGCAGTGTGAGACTCAGGGCTGGGGGGTCCCTGCAGTGTTCTGGGCTCTGACATGTCCCCCAGTAACCCTGTCTCTGTCACAGTGTGCAAACATCGGCCCGGCAGACTACAACTACGACGAGACCATCAGCACTCTCAGGTATGCAAACAGAGCCAAGAACATCAAGAACAAGGCCAGGATTAATGAGGATCCCAAGGATGCCATGCTCCGCCAGTTCCAGAAAGAAATTGAAGAGCTTAAGAAAAAACTGGAGGAAGGTGAGCCTGTCCTTCCCCCTGGTGTCCCTCTGTGCACCAGTGCTCGTTCTGTGCCGCTCCAACGTGTGTCACAGGAGGGTGGCTGCTGGGCAGCTCGGGGCCCTGGTTGGTTTGTCGTGCTGGGTGCCAGGAGGGGTGTCTGAGGGTGCTGGTGGGGGGCTGGCTCTGCCCACTAGGTGGCATAGGTGGCACTTGGCACCAGGGCAAGTGGTGGCCTCGGGCTGGGATCGGTGTGCCCGGGGCTGGGATCGGTGTGCCCAGGCTCCCTGGCAGGCAGGGGGGCTCTGGCACAGTGTAAGGAGTTAAAAGGGACTGTAACAGCGGGTCAGACGTTCTCCCTGATTGAGGAGGAAGGATGCACTTAGCGGGAGGAAAACTGAATTAAATTTGTGGAGCTAGAACTGGGGCTGACTTTCAAACACTGTGTAAAGAAACAAGAAACTTCTTTAAGCCCTGTAAGTTCATAGTCTTGTGTCACTGTGAGTCTGTCAACATGGAGTGACTCTGCCAAAGGGATGCTTGCTAAACAGTGACCTTGGCACATCTCTCTCCAGAGATACAGCACAGAACAGCTGTAGCAGTAACTCCAACATGACTTGCTGTTTGGCATCTGCCCTGTTCAGGAGAAGCAGGAAATAGTCAGTAATGCTTCTTTCATCAGAGAGAAGTCTGAGATGGAAGAGAAGGTGTGGTGGGATGCTGCTAGGGAAACTTTGTAGCTTCAGCTGTGGAAAGATGCTTTATTTTCCATAAAAAGCAGCCTCTTGAGCTTTAACACGTACATACTGACATCACAGCATTCCATTGCTTATCTTGATTGTCCTTAAGTTTCCTGAGCCACTGCAAACTGTTTGTCTGCTCAGCAGTTAAGGACTTCTGCAGGAGCTCCTAAGCTAATGTCAGGCACTGCTGGGTTTGGACAAATGCTGCTGTCTCAGTAACAAGCTGATAGGAGATGAAGGAAAGCACATCTCAAAGCACACTCTTCTGTTCCAGGGGAAGAGATATCTGGTTCTGAGAGCAGTGATTCTGAAGAGGAGGATGAAGATGACGATGGGGAGATTGGAGAGGACGGGGAGAAGCGGAAGAAGCGGCGGGGTAAGGCTGCAGAGAGTCCTGCCAGTGCCCCCAGTCTGCTCTCCTGCAGGAGCTGGGGGAGGAACTGTAGGCAGAGGCAGGCAGGGACCAGTGCAGTTGTAGAGCTGCCCTATGCCGCTGCAATTATCATGCCTGTCCTAGAAACCAAGCCCTTGGTGCCCTCTCTGGAGATGGACAGCTCCAAAGCTGTGTAGTGTCTGCTTCCACTCGGGTCGCTGTGCTTGTGGTGACATCCTCCTTTGTGGTGGCTCCCTGGTGGCCGCAAGGTGGCTGTGGATGGCTTGTGACTGGTGGTGTGGAACTTCCCCTGCTCACAGACGTGGGAGGAAGGAGACACCAAAGATCATTTGTAGGCAGATGTGGTTTTTATAACCATGGGTATGGTTGGAGGGGAATTTTGGCTGTGGTTTAGGCAAAGGATTCATCTGTCTTATGGACAGTAACTTCAGTAACTGACTCTTCTAGTGTCCTATTTTATGTTGGTAGAGGGAAAACTTAACCTTTGGGTGTCTTCATGCTAGCTGAAAAGGGAGCTGCACATCCCTTGTTTGGGAGCACTCTGGAAATCCCGTGGTGAAGTCTTCTTGGCCCTACATCAGTGTCAAACTACTGTCTAACATCTGAACCCCCAGGGGAGTGGCTGAACCTGGAACTGCAGGTCACTGTGTACCATGGCGTGCTGTGGCTTCCTGGGAGCTTGCCATGCTCCTGGAACCTGGCTGATGATTCCTCACAGGCAGAGAGAATTCAACACCTCAAATTCCTGCTTCTCTAGTACACTCGTTTTGGCAAACTGCCTTCCTGTCCTGAGGCACCCACATCTGCTGAAAACATTCCTCTTAAAGCATTCCTGCTTTGAGATGCACACTCTTCGTTTTGGTGCCTGTCCAAGCAATCATAAATGACCTTTGTCATGCCTTTGGTGATAATTGTAACAAGTTCTACTTCATTTTTCACCTTTTGGTTATTTCTAGAAGTGAACAGATTGACCGTTGTGTCCAAGAACCAAGTCACGCCCAAATCCCCTCCCAAGAGGAGACCACCTTCAAAAAGGAGTGGAGGGCAAATAACTGACTGACTCAACTCCCAAACAAGCTGCTCTAGTTAAGTTTTCTGAGGGAGCTGCTTAGCAGGAGTATGCAGTGACTGCCCCTGTGTGAGCTGAGTCTGCCTTCCAGAGGGAGAAGTGCACATTGCCATGTACATAAGACTGGAAAGGATTCCTTGTCACAGAATCCTCAGCTATGGCAGATATCCACAGCCTTCTCCACTATGATCTGGTGTTCTGTGCTGTTGTTGCTTGAAATGGAAGCTGCCTTGGCATGTGGTTTTAAGCTGTAGTCTGGTTAAGATGGGTTTTAACTGAAGTGTCTTTCTGAGCATGCAGTTTGTGCTGGGAAATGGTGGCTTTGCAAGCTGAGTCTGGGAGGGATCCTAGCAAATGCTTCCTAATGGGAACTTGTGCTTTTTTTGAACTAGGTTGCTGGCTCTTCTGGGTTTCTTTCCTTTAGAACTAACTTCCCATCTGCATGTTTCTTCCTCTCTGGGTGTTTCTGTGGGACGCATTTCTGTTTTCCAGGCAGTAGCAGCAGCAGTAGTTCAGACTCCACATGCTCTGTCATAGAGAAACCTCTGGATAAGTCCTTCACTAGTGAGTGGGAGCTCTTAAGTCCTTTAAGCTTTGGCCTTTCCATAATCTGCACACTCCATTCTGCAATGTTGCACTCTTCCCTGCTTTGTCTGTTGGAAAGATAACCGTGAGGCTGTAACTCTGTTAAAGCATGCTTTTCCTTTGCTGCTTCCATGCTTGAAACAGTTGTTCAATGTGCACATTGTTAGCCAGTTATGTGAGGGAATGGGAAGCTGCTTGAGCAAGATTTAAAGACAATTGAGAAATAATAAGTTAAAAAAGCCCAGTTTGCAACTTGTGTTAAATGTGCCTTCTAAAACACAGGGAAAAAATCTAAGCTAGTTTTTTAATGGGAATTGCTACAGTATGAGTTCATCAAAAGGACAACTAGATGTGTGAAATGGGCTGTGCTATGTTATATTGGACTCTGCCTTCTCCAAATTAGTTTTGGAGAAAATGAATGGAGCAGTTAACAGTCAAGCAGCATAAAGTTTATACTTGCAAAGAAAATGTGGCAACACTTGATTTGCTATATTTTTGCAGATACTTAAAAAAATATCCTTGGTGGTTGGGGGTTTAACTGCCCCATGATATCAAGTTCTTGATGTCTGTTCAGAGAGTTCAGAGGAACAAGAGATCCAAATTTTGATCTAGTGAGGAGGAAAGCCTGGACTGCTCCTGGTCAGAGAGGCCTCTGTGCCTGTAAAAACCCTACAGTCAGTGAAGACTGAAGAAACAAATCACATCTCAGGACTCGGCTCGTGGGGACTTCCCCCACTGTTGTGGTTATCCTGGAGGGATCAGTCCCCTCTCTTCCTGTGTGGAGAGAGTGTGGGAGGTGTTGCTGTACAGTTCACTCACATTTGTCCTAGTGATGGCAGTGGAAAGCATCAGCTCAGAGAAGGGTGGCAGCAGGTTTAGAAGGAACACAGCTGCAGGGACAAGTGGGTCATATGATGGTAGCCTGGGAATCTGCTTGCTTCAGTCTTGCTTTCTCAAAGCTTGCTTGGAACCAGAGTGTTTTATTTGGATGAGGACAGTTAATAGCAAACTGCTGGTGTGTCAGCAGGTGGATGAGTCCATCTCCTGCAGGTTTGGAGGCTGCTCTGTTGGGGAAGTTGTGCTGGGCTTTTGGCAATTAGGACAAGCGTGGCTTTTTGTGGTTTTGGATATTAACTGTCCTCAAGCGTGACCCTTCTGCATGTAGTGTCTTTTGTTATCCCTCTCCTGCCCTGCCTTTTTTGCTGCACTTGCTTGAATAACAAGTGGCTCTATACCTCTATGGAAGCACCAGTTACTGCAAATTACCCTACTAATCCCCTGTGTAATTAAATGGAGAAATCTTGTGCTGACACTCCCTGTGTGCAACTGTTCATGTACCTTGCAAAGAATTGGCTTGGAAACTTGGTTAAAACTTAGAACATGTATTCTGTATGCTAACATTTTACAGGTAACATAACAGAATTGGCTCTCCTGAGTGGGGGGAAGCATTAAGTTTCTGATGGAAGGAGAATCTGCCCCCTTTGACTGTTTCTTAGGGCATGATCCTTGCGGCAGGCTGCCAGGGTTGTGTGTAGATCCAGCATTGCACTGAATGGGCAGAAGAATGCCAGAGTGAGCTGAACATTATCCTGGAGATGCAGAGCACTCTGAAGTACACAAACCTTCTCTGCTTTAGCATAAGAACATGATACATTAGTGTTTGCTCTAATGGAGGGTTTTTAGTGATGATTATCCTGTGTTTTCTAGTCTAGAAATATGCATACAAAGTTAATGTTTGTTCTGCTGCTAATGATCTTTTTCCAAAATGATCAAAGCAATAACATATTTTCTTTCCTCCTCTTTTCATGCGTTTGCTGCCTCTCTGCGATTTGCTTTCTACTTCCTCTTAATGCAAGATCAAGCAGGTTGGTCTAATTGATTTTCACCTCCTTAGAGTACAATTGCAGAGCTTGTGAAAGGATCATACAGCTTGCTTCAGTTCACCTTTTTCTCCTGAACTGAGAATATACAGAGCTATGTCCTAACAGTAAGAAGCCTTTATCTGGCTTATCTCTTATGATGAGCTCTGTACAGCACTTCCAGAAAGCTTCTTACTCAAAGACTAATTTAGTGAGATTTTTGGACCACAAACCCAGAAAGAAGTGCTTATTATCTGATTCTGAAGTTTGGCAGATGGAAATGAAGATGGTTTGCTGTAGTGCTAGAGTCCTTACCTTGCCCCAACAGTAATTAATGCTCTTGTGCACATGAATGAACACGTGTACAGGTGTGCACATGTGTGTGCACGTGCACTGCATTTTGTCTGCTGGAGTATATATGTATTTAATATAATGTAAATCAAATTCAAATCATGTATGTGTACAAATGAAGCTGAATGCCATGAAGACTGAAGGGAGAGGAGCCTTTTACTGCACAGCTTCCTTGAGCATGTTCTGACCATGTGCCCTGTGTGACAGAGAACCAGTGCCATGGCAGTCGGGGCCCCCGGGAGTGTCAGGGCAGCTGGGTTCTACAGGGTGGGCTTTTTCATGTCTGGAGAAGAGCAAAGCAACAAAATGAAGGATTTACCTGTGAATAAAGGGAGATTTAGGACTTGTGGATTTGAGGAAATGCGGGTAGGCTGGGCATTCTCACTCCACATAACCCCCAAGGATCTCTGTTCACCTGCCTCGAGTGCTCCTGGGATTACAGTGAAAGTTGACTCAGGACTGGCAGAATGACTTCAAGAGCAGCATCCTCACACTTTGTTTCAAACTTGGTGTGTTTGGGACGGACCCTTGAGGCCAGTGGGTTCAGGGAGTTGCTGTGGCCACTTGTGTTACCCTGTAGGAACTGGCCCCTGTGTGCTGCTGTAGGACTGTTGTAAACACACAGCTGACAAGGCACAGCAAACCTTGGTACTTTCCAGTCTGTGGGTAGTCACTGTGCCATAGACAAATACCATCAAGAAGTTTCTTTTAATTGCCTGGTTTTCATAGGATTGTTCTGAATTTCCCTGGTCTCTCTATTTTCATAGTAGTGTGTTCTTAAAAATATCTCTGTGCCCACTTTGGCACAGGTGAGCCTGTAAGGAGGGCAGTGACCAAGGGGGGGGGTGGAGATGCTAATCTGAAATTTGAGTACATGACTCTTGATAGCTGAGCTCTTGTAGGTCAAGGCAGTCTTCTGTTTTCCTTCCTCTGGCCTAATCTGCATTGTTAGAACATCTGAGTTTCCAGCTCAGGCTTCTCTTTAGGCAGTGTTCCTTCTCCAGGTGTTCTTCTTGTTTTCTATTTTGGGGGCATTATATTCCAGTGTCAGTTATGTAGCATTGCTTCTCTGTAGGAACTGGTGACAACTGATCAATGTTAAAATGGGGTTTGAAAGACTGAGTTGTGCCCACCACAATCTAATCTAATCAAACGTAATTAAATTTTTGTTAAATGCCGGTATTGAATCTGAACTTGGAAAAATGCTCTTACACAGAGGCTGTCTTATTTTTCAGTGAACTCATTTATTTTTTTCATCTCTTCCAAAAGGCAAAAAAAAGGTTTCCCCTGATAAGATGGTAGAGATGCAAGCAAAGATTGAAGAGGAGAGAAAAGCTCTTGAAACTAAGCTTGATATGGAAGAAGAAGAAAGAAATAAAGCCAGAGCTGAACTGGAGAAGAGAGAAAAAGACTTGCTTAAAGCTCAGTGAGTATTGTGCTCTCAGCAGTTTGTGTGGTTGTGTGGATTTTTCCTTCCTTAATCATTTGAATATCTGGAGATGCATAGTGAGGTGTCTGTCAGACTCTGTAGAAAGGGAACATCATCCCGTGCTGCTGCCAAGGTGAAAGTGGAGCTTAGTCTGCTCTCAGAGTTTAGGGCAGATGGAAAAGACAAACTTTTATCCTTTTGCCACTTCTTTCTTTTCTTAACTTTACCTAGTTGTGCAAGGTAGCCTAGAGACATAACTGAATGAGCCAGGAGCTGTGAGGAGCAGCAGTGCTGCCGTGTAGCAGGCCAGGTTTGCTGCAGCACAGCCACAAGCACGTCACCTTGGGTGCAGGGCTTCTCCCCTCTGAGGCCAAAGAGCTGAGGTCACACTGCCCCAGCAGACAGGACAGCCCTGCTGCCAAGGGGCTGCTCCAGCATTCCTGGTTTGCATCTCAGCTGCTCTGCCTTGGTCTCTGTTCACTCCCCTCCATTTCAGCATCTCCCTCTGGGCACTGCTGTGCTGGCAGGGCCCTTTTGGGCAGGGGTGCCTCGAGTAGCCTGGTGGTGTCCCTGGGGCCTTGCAGCCCCCTCAGAGGTGTTACACAGCAGGACACATTTCTCTGCTGACCTGGTTTTGCTTGAGAGAAAGCCATGGGAGCTGGGGCTTGGGGAACTCCCTGTGCTCCTGTGCACTGCCTCACCCCCACGTAAACCCTAAACAGCAAGACAAGTTTTTCCAGCCCTGTGAGTGCTGTCTGGGCTATAAAACCAAGCTGGACCTGCTGCCTGGTGAGCACTGGAGTGTAGGAAGTCTCACACCTACACCTCTGTCTAGGCAAGAGCACCAGTCCCTGTTGGAGAAACTGTCTGCATTGGAGAAGAAGGTGATTGTGGGAGGAGTGGACTTGCTGGCAAAAGCAGAGGAGCAAGAAAAGCTTCTGGAAGAATCAAACATGGAACTGGAAGAGCGAAGGAAGAGAGCAGAACAGCTTCGCAAGGAGCTCGAGGAGAAGGAGGTGGGGCTCTGCTGTAGCTGTCTGCACACAGCATGGCAGGACAGCCCTGCTCTGCCCCTTGGCCTGGCTCTGCCCTGCAAACACAACCCCTCCAGAGGCCACTGCGAGCACTGTGGGGCTGAGCCAGCCTGGCTGAGCCAGGGCTCTGCTCCTGGCAAATGCTTGGTTTGTTCAGGCAGTTTCTCCTTTTGTTCATACTGTTGCAGAGAGTTTCTTTGGTTGTGTTAATGTGTGGGTGTCTGTGCTAAATGTTGCACACAGCAAGAGCGCTTGGACATTGAGGAGAAGTACACCAACCTCCAGGAGGAAGCACAGGGGAAAACCAAAAAGCTGAAGAAAGTCTGGACCATGCTCATGGCTGCAAAATCAGAGGTTAGTGTCTGAAGTTCTCAGCCAGTGATCCCTGAAGGACTGGAGCTGGGAATGGTAAACCATCAGCTTTGTAATGCTGGAAAAAGTGCCATATATATTTAGAAATGTCTTTCTGTGCTGTCCATTTGGGTCACATAATTCAATATCTAATGAAGTCTGGTGCTGGAGTTTCACAGTGGCACATTGTAGAGCTTTTCCCCAGGCCAGGGTGAGAAGGATTGCGTGAGACCCTGAGATATCCAGAACTTCAAAGAAAACCTTTGGTTATTTCTGAAATAAAATGCAGTTTTATTGTTTGAAACTGTTTACTGGAGCCCCATCTCCTGCTCTGCTGCAGCCTAAAGGCTCCTCTGCTCTGAGCTATCTGTCCTTGCTGAGTGGTGCCCTCGTTACCCCTTCCTCAGTCACTGGATGAATGTGTCCTTTGGCTGGTGGCTGGAGTTCCTGTTCCATGAAAAATGCATTTGGTCTTGGAGATCAGAGATTTTCCTTGAAACCTCGCCAGGGATATAACTTGTCTGCATGCTTTTCATCTGCTCCTAGCTGGAGCTTGGATTGGCAGGAGGCCAGTTTTGGGTTTATGAAACTGAGAACTTAATGCTATTTTCACCCCTCTCCGAGCTGGAATATTTCAGAGGGTTTATCCTTCAGAGATAAATATTCTAGTACTTATAACCAGAGTTTGCTTTTGTTTCCCCAAAACCTTGTACAGACAGAGGACTGTTCTCTTTTAGGCTGTTACCATGTCTTAAGCTAAGTCTGATGCCTCTCAAATGCCTGGTTTGTTTTCAGATGGCAGATCTGCAACAGGAGCATCAGAGAGAGATCGAAGGGTTACTGGAGAACATTCGGCAGCTGAGCAGGGAGCTCCGTCTGCAGATGCTCATCATAGACAACTTCATTCCTCAGGACTACCAGGTAAAGGCAAAGCACCTGAGCCTGGCACAGGGGCTGTGCTGATCTCTGTTCTCTTGCAGCCTGTTTTCCTTGTCATTTAAAAAATGATAACATGACATTCACCATGTATTTAACTGGTGTATTCACTGTGTGCCCATGTCCTGGATCTGTTCAAAATCTTTTTTCACTGTGCTTGAGGTTGTGCTTGCTAATGTCTGATACTATCACAAAGTGGCAAAACTGAATTTGGAACTCTTCACATCTTGTTTTCTTAGACTCCAATATACAGAAAAATCCTGAGCTTAAATATAATGCACACTAATAGAAAATATAAAAACAATTCCTCTTAATTTTTTTCTGATGTTACAATGTGTGTTCATTGCTGTCCTGATGGTGTTGGCATAGTGGGGACACCAGGCTTTAGTGGGCTCTCCAATATATACAGTTTGGGAGTGGTATTTTGTCTTCTGTAGTCTTCAGAGTATAAATAGTGTTTTCTGCATGTGGTGTAGCTGTCCTGATTAAAAACAACTTGGAATGGTTAAGACTGTTCCTTAAGCAGCTTGTGCAGGCCTTAGAGATGCATGTTCTGGAAAGTGCACCTAGGGGGTAAATTGTGCAAGTCTAACAACTACTGTCTGGATTTCTTTCTAGGAAATGATTGAAAACTACGTTCACTGGAACGAAGACATAGGAGAGTGGCAGCTGGTAAGAGTGGCTGTGTACCAGCTGATGTTACCATGAGCTTCTGAGGAGTTTAACTGAGCCCAGCAAGAAGCTGATAAAGCTGTAGACAGTTTTACTGTGTACAGTAGACTTTACTAACAGACCTTTCTTTCATCTTACAGAAATGTGTGGCATATACAGGAAACAATATGAGGAAACAGACACCTGTCCTGGATAAAAAAGAGAAAGATGTGAGTTGCTCTTGCATTGATGTATTGAACTGCACAGGTCCAAGTCCTGCTGCCTGTGCCTGCCACTCACTATTTACAGCCAAACTGTGCAGTTTGCTTTGCTTTTGAGGAGATGAGTCTTTCTAGTGTTACAGAAGCACCACTGATCAGTATATGAAATGATTCTGATGTTTTTGTCTTGTGGGTCTCTTTGGTGTTTTTTTAGCCCTTTGAAGTGGACCTTTCCCATGTTTACTTAGCTTACACTGAAGAGAGCTTGAGGCAATCCCTGATGAAGCTGGAGAGGCCGAGGACTTCAAAAGGAAGATCCAGGCCCAAGACGGGTAGAAGGTGAAGAACTCTGGGGTATCTGAATGTAATGAGGGATTTACCCAGGGGAAGGCTGAAGTTTGTTTATGCAAACTTACTACAAGTCTTCAAACATTTGCTTAATGAGAAGGCAAAGTACTAAAATTTTGCATGGTGTAGTTTTACTGATGTGACAGAACCAAGCTGAGATCTCTTTTACTGCAGTAAATCTTGTCCAGAAAGACTTGTCTGGGGATTTTTCTGATGCTCTGCTGCTGCATTCCCCTCTTGCAGCTTCTTGCTTTGTGTGACTGTTCCAGTGTAGCACAGTCTGACAGTGCAGACGGGTGTTGCTGGAGGGGAGAGCTCTGCAGGGGGAGATCTCAGCCTGGCCTTTCCTGGTGACTCGTGTTTGGTTGCTTTTGCTTGTGGAAGAGTAACACTGTAGTTCTTGACTTGAAATGTGGCTGGTCCCTGTCTTTCCTAGACAGCATAATGATGTGTGTGTGGTGTTGTTTTCCCCTTTCCTTTCTGCTCTCCAAACAGAAAACGTTCGGCCAAGCCAGGAGCTGTCATTGACTCCCTGCTGCAGTAGTGTGACCTGGTCAGAATTCCTGTAAAAATCAGTGAGTGTGTATGGTTTGGCCAGAACATGGAATTCAAGAGATGGCACAGTTTAACATGGCTATAATTTTTTATTTAAGAAAATGTATTTTTCCTTAGTTGCCTGTATATTGTATGTTATATTAACATAATATTAAACTGGTATATATGATGGTTGTGAAATTCCATGTGTTAAACGTGTTGTGCAGGGAAACTTGTTGGCAATCCTTGTTGAAATGTATAGAAATAAGGGTTCTAGATGTGTGTTTAAGTGCTAGACATGTTAGTTCTAAACAGTTAATGAAATCTTAAAATTAAGGCTGGTAGATCTGATTTATGCCCTGTTTTGCACATAACTGGCAGCTTTCACTATTGTCCCCTGTTGCACTGATCTGTGTTTGAATGTGGCTGCTGCAAACCTTTAAAAGCATCAAATCTTTTTATTTAATATTCCTCACTGTGGCTGTTAACCTGATAGTATTGTGTATCAAATACACAGTCCTTTTTTGCTGTCTTGCTGTACAGAGGAAGTAACTGGAGAGGAAAAACATGAACTACAAAAGTCTGAGACATCTGAGAAGGGACCATGCTCTGTTGAAGTGCAGCAGAAATCAAGTCTGTCTAGCAATGCTTGTATTTTTATCAGTTTGTGTGGGATCTGCTGGCACTGTGGAGAATGAGACCTTGGATATGAAGGCAAAAGAGAGCTTTTTTCCTTCTTTTAAGGCTGCCTTGCAGCATTGCTTTGGCTGCTTTTTGTGCTTGGGGGCTGGAATTTTAAAATGTATGAGCAGTTGAGCAGTTTTGTAATCTGAGCAGCAGAGGTGATTTCAGGGGGTGCTGTGACCCCAGGACTGGGTGTCAGCAGAGGGGGTTTCAGGGGTGCTGTGACCCCAGGACTGGGTGTCAGCAGAGGGGGTTTCAGGGGTGCTGTGACCCCAGGACTGGGTGTCAGCTGTGGGGCTGTGAGCAGTGTGACTCCCTTCTTTCATCCCTGGCTACACGGCTCTAGGCCAGTGCTCTTCACTGAGGATGAATTTGACTCTCCTGTAGTCAAACAGAAGGAATTGCCCAGTTTTCCCAGAGCAGTAACATCCCCTGAAATAGCTGCTGCTGCCTGTGCTCCTGTGTAGGCTGTGCTGGGTCTCTGGCTATGCTCTGATGAGAGGAGAAAAATTCTGGTCTCTGATAATAACCATTTATTTGTGATGGCTGCTCTTTTTCTTTGATATTTATGCTGCTAATAGACACATATCACTTTGATACATTGCTTTTGTGTCACAAAGAAAATGTATCTCCTTTCCACGGTGTGTGCTTTATAACTCATCACATCAGCTCGTGGGCACCTCAGCAGCTCCTGTGCCATGGAGGGGGGATGAGCTGTGACCTCCCTGGCATCTTAGGGTTACCTGGAGGATGAAAAGCTGTAATTGCTGACAGGAGAAATGGAATCCTTCAGTGTGACAGAGCACAAGACAGCTCCTCAGATGTCCTGAGTCCTTGCTCTGCAGTTACCAATGTGTTCTTGTGAAGTACTGAGAGTAGTTAAAAGCCCTGATGCCTTGGGGCTCTGTAGTGGATCTGTGACAGGATCTGGAATAGTTAAAACTGGTCTTGAAAGGGCATATTTTACTCTGAATGATATCTTCAGTGCTATTCTAAACAAGTTGTAAGTTTTTCCCTGTTTTTTTAATGTGTTTTTTCGGGATCATGACCTAGAAGAACGTACTGCTCTCTTTTGGGGGAGAAGGTGTCATCTAAGTTCATAAAACATACAGACACTGGCATTTGTTTTCTCTAGCCTAGCCCTTAGAGGTAAATGCTGAGTCTTTCTTGATCTGAGCTGCAGTTGGTCTTGCTTGTGAAGAGCTGGCTGTATTTTGAACATCCGTAAGTAGAGTTGGGTTATCTCATCAAACAAAACAGACTGAAATTGCTTCAGTGCTCTTTGAAGTCTCCTGTCAGTTCTGAGTCCAAGCAGATAAATGCACAGCTGTGACCTGTACTAGTTCTCAGGACCGGGGACAACTTGTATTTTCTTTTTGTGTTACCTCTTGTCCTAACATTTATTGAATGATCTGGTCTTTAAGGGAGTTTCTCCTGAACTGTGCTTTCAAAAAGACCATTGAAAATTCTTTTACCTGGCAGACATCAGTGGCTTCAAAATACCACTGTGGACCATGGCATTGCATTTAAAATATTTAAAACTTAACTATAAGGGCATATGCTTTACAGTTAATGTTAGAGTCCTGCTGCTAAAAACAATAGTACTCTGCGTATTTAGGCGAGCCTTGAGGCAGAAAAAACAATAAATAATTGCTTGCAGACCTTTAATTGGCAGATTGGAGAAACTGGTTTTTATCTCCTGTTACAGAGGCTTGGAGAACAAATTAGCTGCTCTTTAAGAGGACTTTCTTTAAAGTGGAACACTGTCATGGTTGTGTGCTCTATCAGCTTGGCTTCCCTTTTAACTGGTGTGTTTTGCTGAAGCTCTGGGAAGTTTTCTGTAAAACCAAGGAGTCTGGCTGGCAAGGTTTACCACTTGGGCCTTCTCTGTGGCCCTGGGCCATCTGTGAATGTCTAATGGGCCCATAATGTGTTTTAATGAGGAAGGGATTTGGTTTGTATGGGTTTTTTTTAAGAGCTTAATACCACCATTGCCATCCCAGGTCAGTACATGCTCTATAGTATTTATCCAAACTCACATTACATAATAAATACTGTGTGCTCATCTTTGCATCTTGCTACCAGAAGGTTTCCCTCGTTCCAGAACATTGACTTTAACATTGAGGTTTCTGCTTTATGTTGTTTAATGTCGTGTAAATGAATTATTTCATATTTAACTTGTTCCTGATCCTTTAAGAGGAGGGGAAATGGTCCTTAGTGCCTTTCACTGACTACACTGTCTGCACATGTCCAGCTTTCACCTTTCTCCACAGTTCTGCTTAGCCAGGCCTGTATAGAGGGAAAACCTGCTAGTCTGTATAACTTGTCTTCCTATTTATTGGTTTTCTAACTGTTTATTTTTGAATATTCTTTGTTTTATGTTTAAAGTTAATTCATTATACTGTAAATATCAGTATTGTGTCCCTGGAGCATGTTCATACCATGAAATAAAATTCTCGATTCCTAATTCCACCTCTATGCACGGTTTTTTTTCCTAATAACGTTATACACACGACATCTTTCTAACTCAGTGGTGTCAGAAGCTGGGTGAGGAAGGGTCTGTGTAGCTCTGGGACACAGCGCTCTGGGGAGGCTGGAGCAGCGAGTTTGGGGAGGCCGGAGCCGTGAGGCCAGAGCAGTGAGTGTTGGGGAGGCCAGAGCGGTGAGGCAGGAGCTGTGAGTTTGGTGAGGCGGGAGAGGCTGGAGCAGCAAGTGTGGTGAGGCCGGAGCAGCGAGTTTGGTGAGGCCGCAGAGGCCGGAGCTGTGAGGCCGGAGCAGTGACTGTTGGGGAGGCCAGAGCGGTGAGGCAGGAGCCGTGAGTTTGGTGAGGCTGGAGTGGCAAGGCGGGAGAGATCGGAGCAGCGAGTTCAGGGAGGCCGGAGCGGCAAGGCGGGAGAGGCCAGAGCGGTGAGGCCAGAGCCGTGAGTTTGGTGAGGCGGGAGAGGCCAGAGCGGCAAGTGTGGGCAAGGCCAGAGCCGTGAGTTTAGTGAGGCTGGAGAGGCGAGTGTGGGGGAGGCCAGAGCGGCGAGGCAGGTGCCATGAGTTTGGTGAGGCTGGAGTGGCAAGGCGGGAGAGACAAGAGCTGTGAGGCAAGAGAGGCCGGAGCGGCAAGTTTGGTGAGGCCAGAGCAGCGAGGCAGGAGAGACTGGAGCCGTGAGTTTGGTGAGGCGGGAGAGGCCGGAGCGGTGAGGCTGGAGCGGCAAGTGTGGGGAGGTCAGAGTGGTGAGTGTGGGGGAGGCCAGAGCAGCGACGCAGGAGCCATGAGTTTGGTGAGGCTGGAGTGGCAAGGCGGGAGAGGCCAGAGCGGTGCGTTTGGGGAGGCCCGAGCGGCGAGGCGGGAGAGGCCAGAGCGGTGAGGCTGTGAATTTGGTGAGGCGGGAGAGGCCGGAACGGCAAGTGTGGAGAGACCGGAGCGGTGAGCGTGGGTGTGTGTTCCAGGGGTGCAGCCGGGGGAGAAGGCCTTGCAGGCTGTCCTGGCTGTGTCCTGTGCTGCACAATCCCCCCACAGCCCGTGCTGTGCCCAGGGTTAATTCACCTGCAGGAACGGGCACTGTCCCGCCGTGCTCCCCTTGCTGCGGGAGCTGTGCTGGGCTCAGTGCCTGGGGCAGCCCTGCTGTGTCTGCAAATGCTGCAGCTCCTCAGCACGAACCAAACCCTGCACAGCCCTGGCACTTAGCTGAGTGCTCTCCCATGCTGTGCCAAAACTAGTTGCCAAGTGGTGGACACCTAAATACCTGCACGGCTCCGGTCCCTGGTGCTGCAGGGACTTTAACCACCACCCAGGTCTGCCCCAGGCTGGAATCCTCCCCAAGCCAGAGGTTTGGTTCCCTACTGCGATTTCACTGCTGTTGCTGCTGGAGCCTCTGTGCTCCTGGGCCACAAAGGGCTGTGCCATCCATAAATACCATATATATATATATAAATGTAGGGTTATAATACAGGCTACAAGTAAAGTGTAAGGAGAACTAAGGTCTTGCTTAGCTCCAGACCTGGCATCTTTTCGGGTTCACAGCTTTCAGAGCAGGTCCCATTTGCGGCCTGGTCTCCCTCTGCCTAGACCTGTGTTCCTCATGTTAGCATGAGCCTTAATCCCATAGCAGGACAAATTCTTTGGCAGCTCCTTACAGCATCACCCCAGTGCCTCTGAACATGGAAATCTCTTAACTGTTGGCTTGTGTAGCATCCTATGCAGTGCCAGAAAATTTAGTCCAAAAATACATTTATTTAAAGAATTATTATAAATAACCTTTGAAAAATAGACTCATAGTTTAAAAACAAACAAATTGTGCTTTTTCACTTCTGACTCTTGTATTGTTCTTGAAGTTCTCGGTGTAATTCCTTGAGGAAATTTTTCAGTGAGGTGGTGCTGCCTGCTGCCACAGGACACGGTGCCTGGAATGGGAAGAAGGGGCTGTTAGGAAGCTTGCTGGGGAGGGATTGGGTTCTGCAGCCTGGGCTGAGCCCTTAAGGGTGGTGGGAGAGTAAAACAAAAGCGGTGACCGAGGGAGAAGCTCGAGGGTGGGGCAGTGCAGAGGAGCTGTGCCTCACCTTGTGCTCCATCCTGCTCCCCCGGAGCAGCCCCAGCAGGTTGTCATAAATGCCCTCGAGGGACCTGTGGCAGCTCCGGCCTTGCCGAGCCACTGTGGCAGCTTTGCACAAGGTCTCCCTGGGGTCACCTCTCTGGGGAGAAAGAAACTTTAGTACAGTCACAGCTTCATTAGTGAAAAAAAACCCAACAAAACACCACCCTGCAAATAACATATTTCTGTTCTACAGGTGCAAAGTGCAGTTTGAGATGCCAAAGCCTCCCTGAAGCTTCCTGGCCCCATCTGTGCACAGCAGGCTCTGCTCCCATCCCTGTCCTGCTGAGGGTGCATCAGCCCCTGGCAGAAGCTGTGATAGAGGGTGGCACAGCAGTGCCCACCCCTGTGCTGGAGCATCCTGCTCCTGCTGCAGGTGTGGGATCCTGAGCTCGGGGACTGCTCCCTGGGGATTCCCTGGAAGTGAAGCTGGTTAGAGCAGGCAGAGATGCTACAGGAATAACAAAAGTGCCTGGGAAGAGGTTGCCTTCATTAGGGGCTTTGAGAAGTCCTGTAGCAGAGACACGTGGAAGATGAGGAGCTAAAAAGGGAGGTGCTGGTGGCAATAAGAAAAATACTTGACTTTCTTCCCTGGGGGATGATCCCAGTGCCCTCTCACAGGCATGTCCCTGAGAGCTCTGCCTGCTCCATCTCCTCAGCTTTCACCCCTACAGCAGCTTCAGACCAGTGACCAGCCCGGCCCTGTGGGGAGCAACAGGTCTGGGAACGTGGTGCTGTGCAGCATTTTGGGCACCTCTCCTCGTTCCCAGGGCCAGTCCCTGTGGCAGGAGGGGTGTGGGGACCCCCTGAGGGCTGCTCAGCCCCAGTCCCCCAGTGCTGCACCCCTCGGATCCCACCCGCCGGTGCAGCACGAGGTGAGGCCGTGGGCTTGCTGTGAAAACAGGAACTCTGGGGCTGGGAGCTGGGCTTAGGCAGCAGTTTTCAGAGCACGAAGAGGCTCTACTATCTGCTGTTAAATCTCGTGCTAACTGAAGAGCCATCCCCAGATAAGGGGCTCAGGAGGGACAGTGTGTGTATCCAGCGCTCCAGGTGTCTGGGCAGGGACAGCACTCCAAGGGGTGGGGGTGTCTGGGCAGGGACAGCACTCCAAGGCACAGGGACATGGCCCTATCTTCCTTTTGGAAAAGCTGAAGCCCCCCAGCCTGCTCTAGCACAAGCCCATCCCTCCCCCTGGCCCAGACCAGAAGCTGCCAATGCTGCTTTGGGGAGGTAGAGATGGGTTGGGAAGGTGAGGGCACCTGTGCAGGGCACCAGGAGCAGTGAGGACCAACTGGGCAGCCCAGCACTGATCCTGGGGGCTCACAGTGGGCTCCTTGCTCCTCCACAGCACCCCACCAGAACAGGGGGGATCCTGGGCTTCCCACCTGCCTCTGACTGCCCCGTGCTGCCCTCTGCCCCCAGCATCCTCTCCCAGTACCCATCAGGGTTGTATGATTATTTTTGAACAAGGACAAGTTAGCTTTTCTTTCTTACCTTATCGTCTGCAAAGATATTTGTCACGTTCATCTCGTTACAGGAAACCTTTACCAAGACACAAAGGAGAGGAGCAGTCAGGCTGGAGGCAGCGCTGCCCCGGGCCCGTCCTGACACGTGCACGCACAGACACGCTCCCAGCACCGCCAGCCCCGTGCTCAGCACCTCCCTCTGAGTCGTCATCGCTCTCCCCGAGCCTGCCGAAACTCCCTGTCCCTCCCCTTAGCAGGTAAAGCCCCAGCCAGCCCTACCTCTGTCTTCTGGAGCTGGTCCAGCATGGTGATGCTCTCCCTCAGCATGTTGGTCCGCAGTGTGCGTGTCCACGAGGTCACCACATCACCCTGGCAGGCCAACAGCGCCAGGAGGGGGAGCAGGACCCGGCCCAGGGTGCTCATGGCCTGCATTGGCTCAGCTCACAGCCTCTGGATATTTGGGTGATCTGTACCTGTGTGTGTATCTTTGGAGGGAGCACCTCAATTTATGGCTGTAAAGATTGCTGAATCGGAGGGAAAAACTTATTTTTCACTTATCTGCACTTTCCAAAGTTGCTCCCAATTAGGACTACAGGTCTTTTTTGTGCAAGTCAAAATTTTCTTCTGATCTTGCATGATGTTTCAATGTAGGAAATTTCCACGGTGAGATAAGGGTGGTGGGAGTCAGGTCACACACAAGAGTGGGTAAAGCTGCCTGCTCTGGGGATTCTCCCTTTCTCCATATCCCAAGGCTTTCTCTACATCACGAGTTGGAAGTGGCTGAATGGGGGAGCCCACTACACTCTAGTAATGGAGCTTTGCTTTTTGTTTTCCTCTCAGTATCCTGTAAGTGCTTCCATCACGTTTCATTTGAATATCTCCAGAGCGTGCCAAGCATCCTTCATCTGCATAGTGATATCTGTCCCTGGGTTTCTTAATCCAGGGAGGAACAGAAAGTGTGGCAGAGCCATGTGAGGACAAAACCCACCTGGGCAGGAGCAGGGCATTACCCGAGGGGGTTGTGGGGAGCTGGGGGCCCTCCTGAGCAGACAGGGCCCCTAAAACAGCGTGGCCCCCTGCGAGGATGTGGGCAAGGGACAGGGAGCTGACAAGGGTGGTTCTGTGGTGTCAGTGCTGGGGAAACGTTGTGTGGCTCTGCTCCAGTATCTCGGGGAGCTGGAGGCTGCCCCATCCATCCTGCCCTGCTCAGGGAACAGCCTGATGGGCTCCACCAGCCCCCCAGTGCCACCCCAGAAATCACACTGAGAGACTCAGCTGGGAAACTTCGGAGTTTTGTAATAACTAATAGGGCTTTTTCTAACTCAAACAGCAACTCACCATCAGATGCTTGATAAGCATCTTGTGAGCACTCGATGAATCCAGGAGCAGCCACACTGAGAGTGATGTTGTTTGTTTAATTC